CAATAGTGTTTTCTCTTTGTGAGAAGCTAAATGGAAATTATTTTCACACGACTATGAATCTAGAAAAAAGGTACATTGTTCGCAAGTAGGGATTATAAGAATGTAAACTTTTATAACTCGTGTCTATTTATATTAAATATAGAATATTAGTATAACATTATCAGTGTAATTTTCCTGATTTATTAAACGCAGTGTTCTAATAGTTGGTCGGCTGAATAAATATATAAATGATTGGTTATTCGACGCATTCCCGTTACGACACATTATAAAACGTAACCCCTATGGTGATAGTAATCATTTTTAATGATAGTAATGATAATTTTAACCCCCACATGCAAAAAAAAATATTTGGAGTTATCATATATGTATGTCTGTTTAGTTTTTTTTTCAAATAAGTCAAAAATGCCACATCATAAAAATATTTATAAAATAATTAATTTAAATCTAATTTTCCTTCTGTTCTATGAAAAACGATTAAACACTCGTTATTTAACAATATTAAAATAATAACTATCGGTTCAAATTTAAAAATTCGAGACAAAAAACAAAAATTGTTTTAAAAACAAAGTAATTTCTCTAAAAATGCAAAATATCACAGTGGAAATTCGTATTCGTTTTTGAGGTTTTTACCTAAAAACAAAATGTTTCTATCAAACTGTGTTTAGGTTATAGAAAATCTGTATTGAAACACTTGGAACTGATTTAATTTTCATTAAAACAAAATGCAACGTAAGAGGAATTCGATAACTACCACGCATGCGTGGTGGCGGAGTGTAAAGGTTCGATTCTCGGATGAATTTATTGCTTCGTAGGTCTAGGTGCAAATGAAGAATGTCTTGCTTAATATCCTGACGAAGGATTGCATCATCTCCATTGGAGGGTTACGGGATCATACCGTGGATTAACAAATTGATAAATGTAAATTTTAAAAAGGATGTCCACCAAATAGTGGACAATGTGGGTGCCAAGGTTCATTAAACAATGAAAGGAACTATAGTTTAAATTTAATTTAAAATTCGGAAATTGCCTAGCTACACGCTTAGCCTTGAACTGAAGTTCAAATGTCGCTATACTCTTTATTGCTAAATTATATTATTTATATAAATTTATTTTTTATGCAAAAATTGTTGTGTTATCTTAGTTCAAGCACATTTTAGTTTACATAGCGTAAGTATATCGTTAATATCCTTTAGATTTCGTAATTATTAAGGTTCGTGACGTGAGAAGTGAATAGGACCTTCTCCAGGCTGACTCACAACGCCGTTATTTCTATTGGAACGGGTAATTTGCGCAGGAGATCTTATAGCGTTAATCTGTGGGAGACACAGATCCATAACTCTCTCAGCCCGATGTCAGATCCGGAGCGTCGCCAGATCAGAATTGCGGAAGGCACTGGGTCAAACTCTGCCAGGTTACCATGCCTTTGATATTTTTAATAGCAATGAATAATTTTCGCAATGTAAAATTTTCAATATAAATCACTTTTACCTCAGATCAAAATAATCCATCTTTAAAATGAGAATATTTTGACATATACATATTCAAAACAAGTTGATAATAAAACATCGGATGCAATATTTATGGCGTTATAGGAAAGGTTATTAAACTCATCTTTGCATTGTGAACGAAAACAATATTTTAGCAGAAATAAGTCATTTGAAAGATTAAATTCCTGTTTTCATATAAACAAACTTGACTTTTTTGTGCTCCGTGTTTCATAAACAACCTTTATGGTGATATAAATCTTCAAGAAAAAAAGAAATAAGACCATTCATACCAAAGAAACATAACAAACTAAAAGTATTCTGGAATTATGTTTTTACTTAAGTATTAAATGGATTTTGTATTTTGTGTTTTGGATTTTTTGACCAATTGGATTATTTATATGGAAAATCTAGATTAAATCAAATCGAACTTTTAACCCTTATAATACGTAAAACTATAAAGGTCATTAACTTACTTAGAGGCTCAATTGGATTTAAAATTAATACAATTAATATAAAATAAAAATTGTACTTACATCGTCAACAGAAAAGTCACCTCGAGATTGGTCCCAAACAGATGTCAGAACCGTAAAAAACAATATTCGACACCAAATCATCATAGAAACACTTAAAAACTACATTACCATTTATGTACTATTAATAATTATTTTCAACATTTATGATAATATTATAAATTCCCGCGTAAAGTTTTAAAAACGTTGCATTTTTTCATGGCCAGCCACAGATTAAAAATAATATTTTCAAGAGCCGGTAATTCAAAATCGCACAGACTATAACGCTATTGTGTTTGACGACAGGTCGCGTTGTTTCGCGGAATGCGACTGCGCGGTTTAGTGCAACTGAATTAGAACGTTAGAGACAGGGTTGTGATAATTATGTTTAAGAAGGGTTACTAAATGCTGATACTCATAGAATAAGTAAAGCTACATTATCATCTGTATGTTATCTTAAAATATTTTTGTTTAACGTATTGGTCGTTAGCTCGTTATTATTAGATCTCCTTGAAAGGGAATTTATATTGTCAGAATAAAAAAATAACAGTATGACCAACAAGATTTTAGCTACACATTATAGGTAACATTTTTTTAAACAATAAGCGTGCAATAAAATATGGGTATCTAGGATATTTACCGTATTATAAACTATAATTATTTATTAGTTAAACAAATGTTTTGTCATATTTGTGTAACACGATTAAGAAGTGACACGAGTGTGATTCAGTAGCTATTTGAATTAAAAAAAAAATTGTAAAAAAAGAGTGTAATATGCTATACCTACTAACTAACACTATTATGTGTTTTAAATGTTTTATTACATGAAAACTGTGTGACAGTGGAAATCTTTAAACAGTTCCACATCGTTTAACTTAAATCACGTGACGAACAACGATATCATAGGATCAGATTTATTTTTTATTTATTCATAAACTCGACATCGCTCTAGTTGGTAATCCTAGGTTTGAGCCCGGAGGAAAAAACTAATTTGACAGGAAGGTATAGAAAGCTGTTCACCTAGCGAAACAGAATCAAAAAAGTACTTAAGTTTTTTTTAAACACGTATCTTATGCTGTAACTGTATAATATAAACATTTTTCAAAAATGCTTACAAGTACTCTCAACTCCAGTTGCTGTTCTAATAAATACTTTATATTAAAATACTATCTTATAATATATCTGTCTTTTGTTGTAGTTTCATATATTTTCTTATAAAAAATATATTTGTTATATATTTTGTCGTGCTGTGATATTTCAGAAAAGTATAAGAAACTTATGTAACACATTATTTAAAAAAAAAGTGTGTTCTATCCGTGCTTAAAGGTCAATAAAATAGCTAAGATTAAGATTACTATTTTAAAATAAACTCATAAAAGGCGACTCTATTGGTGTTCCTGTTCTAATAAATACTGCAGATCTCGCCGATATGTCCCACATGAACCCATTGTACCTTTCTCCCCGATATTTCGCCGTCACTCGCTCGCATTGTTTCGGAAATTTCGAAAAGCAGAGAAAGCCTTTCGACTCTATTTAACACAGGCTCTTGAAATTAACTTTCTTCAGATAATTCGACATAAATACGAATTTAAAAAAATATATACTGTGTATTTGCTTTACGCGTTTAAACAATAAAATCATTCCCTACTAGCGTCTAAAGAACTATAAACATCTATCTACTCTTTAGTAGAAGTCTTATTCAGTTCCCGGGCTGTCATTTTTTTTATAGAACAGGGGGCAAACGGGCAGGAGGCTCACCTGATGTTAAGTGATACCACCGCCCATGGACACTCTCAATGCCAGAGGGCTCGAGAGTGCGTTGCGGGCCTATTAAGAAATTGGTACGCTCTTTTCTTGAAGGACCCTAAGTCGAATTGTGGAACGGCGGACGTCGAGGTGATACGGGTGGAATTTCGTATTCTGCCTCGACGTCCGATGATGAAACTCAGCTGCAAGTATTAATCCGTCAGTAAGTTATCTAACAGGAACTATAGTCTAACAATTTTGTTGGGTGTGCCTTTACTAGCAGTCTCTTAGATACCAAAGTGTTATAAAAGCTCAATGAATAAAAAGAGGTTCAAAATGGAAACAAAGTTGTCATTTATCATTTTCTTATTCCAAAGTCAAAAATCGAGAATTATAGTCTGTGACAAAAGTTGAATATAGAACAATTAATATTGCCATTTTTTAAATTGGTGTTTCATGTCCTTGGCTTCAGTAATTTTCCTAGAATTTTGTTTTTGTTTTTCGATTGAATCCTCAAATGTTAGCCTATATAGATTATACTACGATATCGCCCACGTTTCTTCGTGTGTTTTATTTATGTTTTAAGGTGTGTGCTTACCCAAAATTGTGTATTTTTTGTCTGATTTACACTTGAATAAGCAATCAGCCAGTGTTGGCGTAAACCAGATAACAGTATAATAACGCCTAAATTATACTACAAAACGGGTTTTTGACTAGAGGTAGGATATATATTAAAGAATCATTTCCCTTTCTTACATAACATTAGGTGAAAAAATGTGAATCTGATATTGAATTTATATAATTCATATTCATTCAATATCAGATTCACGTTTTTTTTTTATTATTTTAGATTTAGGCTAAACCAACAAGAAAAGAGCGTAGCAATTCATAAAAGGTCGGCAGCGCGCTTGCGAGCCTTCTGGCAGAGTGTCCATGGGCGGAGGTATTACTTAACTTCAGGTGAGCCTCCTGCCCGTTTGCCTCCTGTAATATATTAAAAAAAGGTTAACAAATTAGACATTTTAGAGATATAATAAAATAAAAGTTATATTCATATATTATTTTTCGTAATCTTAAATTAAAGATAATTTTCGCATAGCTCCGCGAGTTCAGTTCAGCAGAGGTTGAAGGTATGTTTAAATAAATGAAACACTTTGTTCGAATTAATACATGCAGGTGAATTTTATCATCGGTCGTCGAGGCAGAATACGAAATTCCATCTGTAGCACCTCGACGTCCGTCGTCAACTTAACGTTTTTTAAGGGTTCTTCATGAAATGACTCAACAATCTTAAAGGGAGTGTCCCTGTCCAGGGATCGCTTACACTTAACATCAAATGGCCTCTTACCCGTTTGCCTTCTAAGTACCTACCAACTGTCTTTAATTTGTGGTATTGCATATCCGCCCCCTTATAGAGGCGGTCATCAGCCTGTTCGGGTTTTGTCCCTGCCAGCGTGCCACCACCTGGTGAGCGTCCTGATGCTGGATGGCACTGGGGCGCACATATACCGTGTGGAGGATGGCCGGACTTCATGGTCGTATCCTGGTAACATGACTCACACCGGACTGACTTTAATGGAACAGAACAAGAGCTTAGGAGTTATAGCTTACATAAAATGTGTACTAAAAAGAAAAAAAAATATCTAGAGATATCAATCGGTTCATAAAACTATACATGTTAAATATAGTTGATATATTTTATACTTCTGAAAACGAATGTAATCTTATATTTTGACTGAATGAAAAACTAGACCCAAGAAATCTGATATTTTAGACATTATTGTAAATTCAATAACATAACATAACGCACGACTCACCATTTTTTTTAATAATCTCAAAAACTGTCATACCGTCTCTTACTACTAACCATAAATATAGAATAGTATTATAATTACTATTCTAATCATTATCAAGGTCGTTAGTATAAACTGCTTTCGATCTTGAGGAGCCATGAAAGTCGAAAAGCGACTTGCGCTTTTCTCTACAATATTCATCATGTTGTCTAACAAGTTTTTCTATAATTGAGTGTTATCTACTACTTTAATAGTTCGCCTTAATTTTTGGAACACGGCTTGTTTGAATTTTGAATCATAAATTACAGTGGACGGACAAAATGGCGGGCGGAGTCACTTGTCATTTGAATACACATTTCCATAGTTTTTTGTCCCACGATGTTGGGGAATTTAAAAAAAAAACAAGTTTGACAAGATGGACCATTTAATAACTTGACGCATCATTTCAAGTGTCAACGTGAACCAGAGATGTTATTGAAAGAGCCTGCAAAAGGCATCTTTTAAAAATTGGTACGCTCTTGAAGGACACTAAATCGAATTGGTTAGGAAACACTTCAGCTGGCAGCTGGTTCCAAGATACAATTTCTTCTAGAACAGCCTTCTGTGCCTAACACGTGTGTTAGAAATGCCGGGTTGACGTTTCATTAACCATGAACAAGAATAAGTAGAAAACAATATAGAGTTTTTTTCCGAGTGACGTACTTAATAGTTGAAGTTCGCTTGCAACACTGCTGAGCTATACTCAACCAGCCTGAACATACCCGTGCTGGTGAAGTTGTTGTTTAAAGCAAGGCTTCACCTGATGCCCTTCGACCATGACCGATTACCGTTTGTCCTTTGTTCTTTCATTAGTTTAAATACAATGTATGTAACAATAACTGTATTGTGTTTTTACTGTGTCTTTAGGTTACTGGAACATAAAAACAAATTTTAACTAAATGTGAACTTTAACTAAAATTAAGGCTTGCATTTATTTATTTATTCTATAAGGAAACATGACATCACAATATCTTGAATTGTTCACCGATCAGAGAATAGAACAGCACAATTATAGTAAACAGAACTTAGGGATATTTATTAATATTTTGTGTAATAGGAGGCAAACGGGCAGGAGGCTCACCTGATGTTAAGTGATGCCACGCCCACTGACACTCATCACACATTGACATACCTTGCCAGACACTTCACATTGCCAGAAGGCTCGCAGCTGCATTGCCGGCCTTTCAAGAATTGGTACACTCTTTTCCCTAAGATCAATACGTAATTGACCTATGGTGGTCAATTACGTATAGATTCTTGTCGTAGCAGCCTGTGCGTCCACCACGACGCGACGCCCAGAAGGGAATTCTCCACCGCGAGCGCGTGTGGTACCAATTTACACACCAACAAGGCCACACAACAGACAAGAAGAAAGAAAAGAAATAAGTTATACAAATCAGAACCAATGTGTGGCCTGGTACAGACGGCGTGCACAAACAATACTCAAAACATATTAATAAGTTTATGTACTCTCTACATAAAAGAAATAACAAAATTCGAAATTGAAGACGATAGTAGTACATAAAATACGTATTCTTAAACGACGAAATGATCATACAGTTTTAGAAAACACTTTCCGTAGATTTTAAATATCTTTTCCGTTTTGTAAAATATGATTAATATTTTTTATTGTTTTCAGTTCTAAGAGGTTTTAGATAACAATAATGACGTGCCTGTGTGTATAAAGCAAAAATGAATTAAAGCAATAATTGTGCCACCATGTCACTTGTGTCGCATATGTATTGTTAGAATAGTCTATTTGTTTTAAATCTATGCCATTTTCGCTTAACTTTCCCCGTTTCCATGTGTCCCAGAAAGGTCTAGATAAGATAAATTAGGCCTACCTAGATCTAAATCCTTATCTATGTTAAATAAATATTTTTTTATGATTAGGTGCATTCAGTGACAAACATAATATGTGTCTCGGCCGCAGATTGCTTCTATGTCTTTGAAAATTTTTATTTCTATAGACAAGTTCGTGATCTGCCTTGCGATTCTGTAACTCACTTTTCGAACTCTCACAGCGGTTTTCACAGCGGCGGTAGCGCTCAAATCAGTCGTGAAGCAGTCATTTTTTGATTTGGCATTCTGTAGTTTATTGTTTATCAGAATGCCAAAGAGAGTTCGAAAAGTGAGTTACAGAATCGCAGGGCTGATACATGTCGTAAATTTTAATGTTTTAAGTCATGCGGATTTCTCACGATATTAGCCATCACAGTAGGGTAAAGTGTTAATTGTGCACATATTACATACTAATACAATTCTTGGTGCACAGCTGGGATTCGAAAATACGACCACAGGGTTAAGAGTCGCTCGCTCGCCTCTAGGCTGGGCGAGTTGTGATTTTTGTTTTAATTATAATTGCAAGATGGCGTCTACTTTACGAATACGAGTCCAGGCTACATCATAGAAAATTAATTGATATATCGTTAGTGTTTAAGATTTTTAAGAATCAGGTCCCAACCTTATAACTAAATTTAAATTTACCCCAGTCACCCCATAATCCTAATCCTGCAGTTATCCCATTTGTCCCTCCTCTCAAAAGACGCGTTTTGGCCAAAACTCACCGATGTCCTTTGAGCATTCTGATAAACGAGCTAGTCTTCCCTTCTCACTTTTCTTGTAGTTTTTATAATTTATGAATAGAAGTAATTTTTTTATCATCGTGTTTGTTATATTTGCCTTTAACTGTCGAATTAAATCTTGTATTTAATTTTTGATATGAAACATCTATAGCCGCACATAAAGCCGATTTCTGGCGTGGCGACGCATGCCGTGGCGACGCGTCGCCACGCTATATGATGGTATATATATATATCAGTCTATATGCAGTAGTGTGTACGGTGTGTGTATTTCGAAGTCACTGATTAAACGAATTAAGTAGTCACGATTTGAAATAAATTCGTAAATTTTTGTATTTAATGACAATAAATGTTTATTCAATTAATAGTCATCATTATCGGGAAAAAAAATCGTAATATTTTATTTTAACATTATGACATATTTAGTTCCTATCACAATCTGTTCTTTTCTGCATATTACTTTTACAAAATAATTTCGATGTTTCACATCTGCCAGGCGTCCCGTGACGGCTCATTTTTTTCTTAATAATTACAAGTGTATCAGTGTGCCGACCGTTGGCACAAAATTATTTCTATTCATAAATTTACTGGTAATTTTCATGCGAGCTTGGTACCATATAAGGTCTCATATAAGACACAATACGAAACTCTGCTTCATTCAATTAAAATTTGAGTTTAATTAAAACAATTATGCTTCAAGAGTTATAAATTAGCTCTCGAATGAAATTGAAATTTTACTTTCCCAAAAGGAAACTTTCAATTTAGTAGATGCATACAAATACGGCATTTTATATGAAATGGACAGACGGGCGCATGACCTGAATTTATTATCGCATTGAAACTTTTATTGTGTTAGTGAAAGTGTACACGATGTATAGAAAACTAGCTTTTACGCTTTATACGGGAAGTATAAAGCCATTAACTCAATACGATAAAAAATTGTTAATTTTTCAACAAACAAATCAATTTTCTTCAATAAGAAACTTTGGATTTTATTTATTTGTACAGAATGCTGGTGTTGCTTCGACCTAAAGAGATCTTCGACTAGTCTAACAGACTGGCAGGCCCTCAGTGGCTGAGAGGTCCAGAAGATGTCCATTTTTTTTATAATTTTTTTTTGTACTAGTGATGCCACTTTGAGTAAAGTAAGAAATATTTGTAAAAATATCTTCTAATATATAAATTTCTCGTGTCACAATGTTCGTTCCCATACTCCTACGAAACGGCTCGACCGATTCTTATGAAATGTTATATTCTAATAAATAAATAATATACATGGCAAAACAACGTATGCCGGTTCAGCTAGTATTGTATATAAATGAAGTACGATCTATTTAAAAGTAATATGTAATACTTATAGGTTACTTTGTGTTCGCCTATGGTATTATTGCACAGAGCTTATGTCAAATATTAATGTCATTTGACGTGTCTCTGATCAAGAAACACCTGTGACACGATACACCTACAATTGCGCCATAAACTCAGCATTTTTTTGCAGGAAATTATCTGTTAAATTAATCAGGCGCTTAATTTTTCATAAATCAATATTTTTTAATATTAGCGATTAATAGTATGCTTTTAATATGGCAAAAGACGATTAATACTCATTTTTTCATATATAATTTGAATATGAAATAACAATGGCCGTCCAAGCAAAGCAGATTAAGAAAAAGATTCCGAAAAATTATATTTATTTTATTTGGTTTTTACGTTTTACATTATTAATTAATATTTACAATAATTCACTATATAAAAATAAGTCGGGTTTTCCTTCCTGACGCTATAACTCCAGAACGCACGAACCGATTTCCACGGTTTTGCATTCGTTGGAAAGGTCTCGGGCTCCGTGAGGTTTATAGCAAGAAAAGCGGGATCACCAAACGAAATGTTACATAAAACGAAGCCATCTGGTGGCGAAACGGAGTTCGCCGAGTTTGCTAGTAATTCATAAAAATAACATTTAAGTCAGTTAATATATCTTTCATCTTTGAAAGTAGATTAAAAATTGCTAACATTTTAAATAAGCAATTATTTAGAATCTAAACTAAATGTAGTAAATGCATTATACAACGTTAAACGCACGAATATCACAATTATAGTTATGAATAAACTCCCAGCTAAGCTATTTATTAAACTGTAATAATTATGAGTACTGAGAAATATGAATATTTCTACCCTTGTAGATACTAATGCAATTTTGTCAAAGTAATCATTGGTTCTTAGCAATTATTTGACATCTATATCAAATCTTGAGCGCAAAATATACTCGAAGAATCAGTGTTTGTCAAAATCTTATTTTTATCAGATAGATCCAGATCTATCCAGGTCTATTGAGTTTATACCTCTATCTAGTTGGCTCAAAAAAATTCCCGTATTTTGACTCAAAACAGACTAAGAATTTCACTATTCTTAATCTTAATGAGGTATCTGTTTTATTTTGCATAAGGTACAAAACCAACCAACGAGGAATATTAAATGTTATACTTGATCGTTGAGCGGGAAGAAGAACCCTGGAGACACCAAGCCTTTTCACTCCTGAAAGTAATAAATAAGCATATCGTTACTCGTTGAAATTATTTTAATGATTAAAATAAAGCATAAGAGGCTTAATTAAAGCTCTATAAAGCCCCGTAACCAAGCAAAATTTGTTGCATCGATATTTTTATGCTATTTCGGATTAGTATTACTGAACTGGGTAAGATTCAGAAACGTCACGCGAACTATGACTCCCGATTTTGAAAATCCTATACATTTTTATGTAAGGGACTTAGCCCTATGTCTATTTACTAAATCTTACCCTAAGATATCCTGGCTTGTGAAAGAGTTAGTACGCATAAAATACATGTATGTACAGCTCGGACTTAAACGCTTTAGCTTTGAAGAGTAATGTTAACAGGCTTGAGAACTAAAAATAGTCAGTATTTTCATAACCAAAAGTGTCTACTACTATTTTTGGTCTTGCCCTCAGACATCGTTATCTGTTTCGTTATTATTTTTATTTAATTTATACGCAAGTAGGTGATCAGCCTTCTATGCCAGACACACGCCGACGAATTTTGGGTCTAAGGCATGCCGGTTTTCCGATATTTTCCTTCACCGTATGAGATGGTGGTATTGTTGTGATTTTCATAACGCCTGCTACTTTATTCGTAGCAATCTGTTAATTTGGTAACAACGTAGATTTGCTTGGTTTACATAATACTAGGGTTTTTATGTTTCTATTATATTATTTTATTGCATGCGTCAGCGCTGCTAATTTCTGGAAATTTCAGTTTTCGAAGAATTACTTTAGCTGGAATTTTTGACAAACATCCGTTTTACTAAATACATTACTCCGAATTAAGCTTATAAAAAGATGAGAATAGATTTAGTTTGTTCATAGAATTTTCATTAGTATTACTAGAAACAGTTTCAGCTTTTTTTTTAAATTAATGAATATTATTTTAGAAAAACATCCAGGTAAAAAATTATTACAATTGCGGTTTTTAAATGGCTTTGTCGAAAATTGTTTTCAAATTTCGGTTCTAAAAATAGTTTCACAACGCATAATTATTTACTTGTTTCATTATAATACCACTGATAGTTGGATGTTAAATACATTATATTTATAAAAATATTTTCCTCGTAATTTAAATAATAAAGGGATTTCCTTATATATCTACAATTATGACAAACTATAAGTGACGTCATTATAACGTAATTTTTGCCAGTTTACGTATTGAACTCATAATCGGTGACGTTATGAGCATTTTAAGACTGTTTGATTTATAAGAACGCGTAACTTTTTAACACATAAACCAATCTGAGGTCCTGAATTTGATTTCTGGCGAATTAAGCCTAAGTTTGGTTGGCGAATATGTTTGCCTTAAAATTAACTAAACTGTCATATAACGTGTTCGCCCGTTACTAGACGATGAACAAAAGTGTTTCTGTACCATGCCCCAATCGGAAGTCGTTTCATATTTGAGACTTATAATAAGCTTACTAACTATAAAACTACTAAATATAAAAGCGACTTAGTAAAAAAATACATTTAATATTAGGAACAGCTTCAGTTTGTACGAAGATTTGTTTGAATTTTTGTTACTAACTCTAATTTAATCTATAAAGAAAAGCAAATACCTCATAAAATATTCAAAGTAAAGTCGACTACAATGTGACCACGTATTAGGATGGTTTGACGGATCGTACTTCGGCTGCATGATGTCTTGTTTCGTACAGTCGTTGTTTGGGGGACCATCGTGTGACATTCCTAAACTGAAATATAGAATCGAAAATTAATGTCGTAAACCCGATACTGTTACTGATAGAATGTTTTATATGCGTTTATCTGTAATAATTGCGTCACGAAAAGATTTAATGCACACATAAGCTTAATTTAACCAGGCTCTACAGCAGTCTCTTGAGGCTTGCCATATACTCGGAATATGTTTTAGTACAAATATCTGCGCATGTACAAGTACTCTCCGATCCAGAACTTACACCAGTGTCCACAAATTATGAGGGTTGTGTGTTTATCCGAGGTTGGGAGGTCCAACGCCGCTAAATAACCTTTTTTTTCTAGAAACGAGGCAAACGGACAGGAGAGTCAACTGATGTTTAGTGTATGAACAGAACCAGAAGGCTCGCGAGTGCGTTACTGGCCAAAGATTGAATTATTTTTGTTTAAATTTCCGATGACATTTTATAGCCGGAATTGATATACCACCAGTAAACCAAGCAGGCAGTCATAACATTCAGAATGATCATCTATAAAGCTGTGATGGATTATAAAGTACCTGTGACCTATTTCATGCGCCAATAAATATCCCATGTTTTTTGGTTTCCATTCAAGCAAGGCGCAGCTTTTCTTCACATTACAGACACCGTTGGTGTAACTTCGAGCTGAAAGATACGTCATAAATATTTAATTGAAATAACTATATTCTTAATATAAAGCCATATATACTAAGACCCTATAGTGTTTTATCTAATTTCACTATGAAAACTGTTTTGAAACCTTCGAAAGACTATAGCCTGCGCCATGGGCGAAAAAAAAAACTGTTTTGAAATGTTAATTACTTATTTTAACGATTTTTGTTTCGTTAACAAATGCTTAACATTCCCATTCTTTGAATTACGTTTCCTTTCCTTTATATTATATTATTCACTTTAACACCAAGTTCTAGGTAATGTAGCAATACAAAATGTACAAACTCTTCCATAAAAATCAGTTCGCGAACAGCTGAAATATGCCCAGACTAAGACGAATATTAAAAAATATATATGCATCGAACTCCACACCTAACGGTGCGGTGAACCCTACCAGTAGATTTTGTGAACTTGTAACAAAATGTATGCTTTTCTATCAAAATCGATACGCTTCTATGACAACCGAGATATGCACAGATTAAGGCAAAATAAAAAAAAATATATATGCGTCGAATTCTACATCTAATCTCGTGATGAAACCTAAATTAGTAGTATTAGCAGTAAATTTGTAGCAAAATGTATGCTCCTCTATCAAAATCGATACGCTTATTTGACAACCGAGATATGCACAGATTAAGGCAAAAAATAAAAAATATATATGCGCCGAATTCTTCACCTAATGTCGTAATGAAACCTCAATTAGTACTCGTAGTATTAGCAGTAAATTTTGTGAATTTGTAGCAAAATTTATGCTCTTCTATCAAAAATCGGTTTAATTCTATGACAACCGAGATTTGCACAGACTAAGTCAAAAAATAAAAAGTATATTTTTTTTCTTTTCGTCGCGGTCGTGTAGAATTGTACACGTAATGTCGCCATAAAACCTACCTGTTGATTTTGTGAACTTCCTCCCATTACTAATGTAAAAAAGATTGAGCCCCGTCAGTAATATTGAATAATATTGTTTCTTTTCTAAACTTTTATAATAACTCTGCATCTCACAGTAATTTTTTAAATAAATTGTCGCATTCTCATCTGTAGCCACCATTTTTGTTCGGCGTAAAAATTTTGTATCTAGAAGTTTCAATATTATTGTTTGATTAAGACTCGGACGTCTAAATAATTTGTTGGCCTCTCTTAATATGGTGTGAACGATATCTTTAATTTTTTTTCTTGTCCTGAAGCCGTGTTCTTTTGCTATCTTCTTGGAGAGGTGAAAGTCTAAATGCACCTTAACAGGAATTATAATTTCTCTTGTCCTTGTTATATGATTTCTGCGAATCCCTGTGGGTTTCTAAAGAGGAAATAAATACGTCTAATTAAAACATATATGAACAATCAAAAATGTAGTGAAATTAAAAACTTGTTCACATATTACAATAGTGTTTTGTTTGTACTGTACATAGAGGTACAGTACACTACTGTGTAAATAGCTTTTATAATATTTATAATAATAATTGATTTATTAATAATAATTATTATTTATTTATTGCAAGAATATGGTACAAAAATGTGTAAGATGGTACAATCGTAAGTTCGCATATTCTGCCACACACAATGGCGAGCAAATTTGTCTTAAAGAATTTTACATTTTACATTGTTAGTCAAAGTCAATTCTTATATTATTTGTATCGTACACATCATATGATACTTTATTAAATTTATATCAACTACACTGTGTGATGCAAATAATAATTGATTGAATAGTAATTTTTTTCCAAAAGTAATACACCAAGTAGCTTTTTAAAACTCTAGTCAGAAGATCTTTTAATTCTTTTGGTAATTTATTGGAAACCTTAATTACCACAAAAAGTGTTTTTCCTAAACAGTTCCAGATTGATTTTTGGCAACAGCTAATTTCTACTTCTTACTTCGACTTCTACATTTTTAGCTAGATAGCTAAAAGTTAACATAAATTCCTTAATATTTGGTCTACTTCCTTAAGTGGTTGAAAACATGGTGTAAAGTCATAGGTTCGAGCTCTGGCGAAACAAAAATTGTTTTGGATTGGAAGGCACAGAAAGCTTGAAGCTTGTTTGGTTTATAAATAGATACTGACATGTGTTTAACCCATATCATACGAGTATAATATGTATATGTTGTACTATTATTACTGAGATAAGCATATTCTACTTTCCCAGGTACATACTTGAAATATAATATGATATTATTCATATCTTCCATTAGGTATTAAATTTGTATAATATTGTAAAAGCAAGATCCTAGAATTATCGATACTAAAGTTAGTGCGTTTGAATACCAAATATATTAGATTATTTATATTTATTTATATTTATATTTGTAATCTTTACACTAATAACAATTTATTTTATTAACTTCCTTTTGTATGGAATTATAAATGTATATTTCAACCAGACAAATATTTATAAATTATTTTATATATAATTTAATATTAATAATATATCCATATGGTTCTACAAATTTCATCAGAGTATGTTTAATTAATATTAAAAAAAAAAAAATTTTTAATAATTTCATGTAGTAAATTTTTTGAACTTTTTTCAATCAATATTTTTAATCAGGGTAGTATTATATATGTATCACTATAACTTCTTTTATACTAAAGATGTATATATACTTTATTCACATAAAAAATATACACATAAATAATTAATTGATTAAAAACAACCTAACGTTTGCATATTCTATGGGTTCATACGTTCGATTGGTATAGAATTTATCTAATAATCATACCGGTGAAGTGTTTAAAAAATTTTTTTTTAAATTAATTAAACATACTTGACTGAAATTTGCTAGGCAACCCATATGGATTATATTTATTGACATATTAAATTATATATAAAATAAGTTTCATTAAATAAGCATCTCGGTGAAGGTCGTTGTATAGAGGGATCTTAGACCATCAATCCGGACAAATATTTACGTCAAAACTTATAACAGATTCTCTGATTCTCAATTTAAATTAATTTTAAAAATGGAAGCTTATTACAACAAATTAAATACTTACACTAGCCAGAACGAAACTATTCACTAGAAATAAACACAGCACAGTGTAAAAGTTCATAATGAGTTCACGCACTAAAATTAATACAAACTTTACCAGACTAAGCACATAGCCACATTAAAATCGGCCGGCTAACTGAGCGTGTATTTTAGACTTCAATTTTGCAGCAAATAAACCTATATTTTGCGGCTGTAGGCTGAATACACACGAACAATTGTTACGCTCATTCACTAACCACGTCAAACTATCAATAATGTCGTATGTGTAATGATGTATGCGGGATGCATTGAATCTTTTTATAAATGTCTGTCCGTCTTCGAACTGATGAACACATGTGCACATGAGCAATAAAAAATGCACGTTAGGACTAATTATATCGGCGGTTATGTGTGGTATTGACGCGTTTAAGGATAATATATCCCGGTAATTCCGTTTACAGATTTTTATAAAACCCACTTTGGTTTACATTCTATAAATAAATAGGAGATCAATAACCCGTATGGAAATATTTAAGTTAATATTAAAATCTTGGGTAACAGAACCTAATTATAAGGGTTTTTATGAAAACCAACATTAATTATAGAAATATCAATACAATTTAATAAGTATGTTGTACTATTATTTAGACAAATATTAACATTTTCAAATTAAATAACGGACAAGCGTAATAGAAGGTTTAGTTTTTTTTCGAAAATATCATTGTTTTTCATCAGTATAAATTTACAGTGCAAAGAGTAGACGAAATAAAGGTGGTTGTAGACACAAAATAATCGTATCTCCAGGTGTAATTTGGACTATCAATATTTCAACTTCAATGTGAAAACATAGATATTTTATAAAATCAAAAAGCTATGGAAAAACGCTATGTCACTGCCGAGACACGAATGGAAACCAAATACTAAGCATTGTAAGTTGTAACTTATTATGTAACCCTAATAATTATTATTATTCGTTTACATTTATTTCTTGTCATTGTCGGTCTCTCGTTTAATGTGATTTAGAAGGCGTTAAAACGCTTTTTGTAGAACGCCTAAAACACACTATCTAATGATGTTGAACGGTAAATCAATGATACACTCAATTTGATGATACATTTTGTTTGATCTAGTTTAAATTGCAATTACACTGTGTTACATTTATAAGAAACTACAAGAAAACTAATCAAGTTCGTCTCTCAAAATAACGCGTGATAATGCGTAAAATTAAAATAAGAATTGCCGGAAGTGTATCACTAATTTCTTCAGTATTTCATTATAATAGTATTACTAGCTGCCCCCGCGAACTTCGTTTCTCCTTAATGTGATTTTACCTAACCCACCTTTTTAGTACATACCAACATGGAACATTTTGCTATGCTACTCCAGAGACAGTTCGGTTTTCTGGAATGAAAACTTTTTAGGTTTTTCTGTGAATTTTTCTCTATTTAAACCTCAGAGTTCAAGTCATAAGATTAAAATTAACAAATAAAAAATAGGGGTTGATCGTAGAGGGGTGAAAATAGAAAATACATACAATATCTATTGTATGTATTTTTGTATGCTGTATCATAAAAAGAAAAACAAAAAAAAATTACTAAAAAATAAAAAATAAAATTTTGGGGTAGACACCCCTTAATACTTAGGGTTTGAAATAGGTTATTTAGATAGTAGCCGATTCTCAGACTTACTGAATATGCATAAAAAATTCATAAGAATCGGTCGAGCCGTTTCGGAGGAGTATGGGAACGAACGAGAATGTAATATACATATTAGATTTCATATCACATGCGTGTGTCAAGGTCGGTCTGCCAATCGTGGCATGGTCTGAGTAAAGTTTGAAGAACTTTACCTAAAGATTAAACAACTTGAAAGCGTACCAAGCCGGCAACAGCCTTTTGGCCAAGTGTCAACGGACGGCGATATTACTATCAGTTGAGCCTGTAACATTAGTATTAATGCTGTTCTTGTCTTATTATAATCCCTAAAACCCTAGTCATATCTTCTGCTCTACGATCCTGTACCAATGTTGATGGAAATGTACAAAGAATCTATCAACAAAGTATCTTTGAGCCGATGGGAACTCTTTGTCTGAAAAAAAATTAACAGCTTCAATCAGTGTAAAACAATATGGCTCCTGTATTCTTTATCTGGGTTGTTTGCTCTTTGACCGGAAATAGCTTAGTGTATTAAAAATTAAACACAAAAATATTATCATCATCCCACACACCCAGACATAGGTCTCATCATATCAGTTCCTAATTCAAATAAATACAATACTATATATACTACCGAAGGACACAATTCGGCTTGTGCCTTTTCGACATTTAAATTTAATTTATTTCTCAATATAAGCCACTCTGATCGTACTTTTAAACGGTGCAAATGATAGGGCGGCCCACCTGAAATAAGCGCATAGAAAATAGCTTTTTTAAAAATCGCTATAGGTGTTTCAAAATTTTGATATGGTTTTGTTGTGATTTGACCCTATGACTTTTCTTAGCGCCAGTAGTACATGTAAGTTTTTCATGTTTTCCGTTGTTGTTTCTTTTTTAATTTTGTAACTAACTGATTCTCAAACCTTCGCAAAAACCGGCGCCTAATCATCTGATGAGGAGCAACCGGTGAGCGCGACTCGCTGATCAATAGCTAAACTTTAGTGTACAAACTTTTATTTATGATTTCCATACTTCTGTCCCTGTGCGGGTCTCGCCGGCCAGTAGGCTCCGACTCGCCCATAGAGACCCGGAGGGAGACTCCAAGCCTTTTAACTTTTAAGTAAATACAGTCTCTTTTTTGAAAGGGGAGACTTTTACATTCCCCTGCTGCCTAAGCTAGACACAGATTTGCCTGATCGCGTACCTGATAGGCTACTGTAGGGTTATAAAAATAATATAAAAAAAACGTATTCTGCCCGAAGTCTCGATGGACTTTAGTCATAACGTTAAAAGCATCACGTATATTATATTAATTAATATTATTTTGTTCGTCACGAGTTATGATGATAGATGAAGTCGGAGCATAGCGAATTCGTTACAATAATACACTTTAATTAAAGTTTTACCGCCTACATATTACAAGGAATATATTCCTGACGTCATACTTGAATCACTTAATAGTAAACTTGTGTCCGTCAATAAATTGCGTTCAATGCCTTTAATATTCTAGCTCACCCGACAGTTGTTGACTTGTCTTTCTAGTCTGTTATTATTCAATTTGAACTGTCAATGGAATATTTTAAATATTATTTTCTTTTGAATTTAAAATTCTATTTGTGTCCAAGAAAAAGGAAAATAGGTATTAATATTATATATATATATATATATATATATGTATAAAAAATATATTTCATATACGGATAAATATTTCATAAATTCTGTATATTTTATAACATTAAACATACCAGTATTTTGACAAATTAACGGTTTGAATAAATGCTTCAAATATTCATACAATTAATACATTAGATGCTAGTATTTCCTGTATTAAATTAATGTATTATATCCTTAACATAATGTTGTAGAACAAATCATAATATAATTTTGGAATTTTTCTTATCTTCATAATTTAAATTCGAACGTAAGGAGGAATAAAACATATAAAAATTATTTACACTTTATTGTATAACATACTGGCCATAGTCCAGACAACACAATCGTAGGTGGATTTTTTAGATAATTTACATAACTTTCGTAGAATAAAGATAAAAGACAACATTGCGCTTATTATAAAATTATATCTAACATTCTATGCCATTAACCATGGCTGAAAACCATGTCGGTTACCATGGTTACTATTTCTTTAATATGAAGAAAACATGAAAAATAACGTAACTCTATGTTCATAAGGTTGTTTATGTTCTATTAAAAGTTCACAGGTACATATAGAAATTAAATAAAATCAATTCTGTGGTATTAAGCATAAACTAGTTTATATTAAACGCCTGGGGGAAACACACTCGCAAATAATCGAAGCGCAAATGTGATGTTTATTTTTAAACATGTTTGTATGAGCTATTTTAGTCAGTTCTAGGATAGTTAATTTAGTAGCCGGCATCCGCGTCGTAACTGCTTTTTTGACTGCTGTATTTACCTGTTAAAATATATAAACACTTATTAATTTCAAGTAGTTCCAGTAATAAGTAATATTACGTATATTACGGATTTATGTACAAGAACAGATAACCTTACAAACGAATATATTATTATATTATGTATCATTATGCAGTATATGGATCATTATATGCCTACAAATCACTACGATGTGGCGATGGTCTTTATACCCTGAATAACGCACACAAAGTAATACTCCTAAGGGTATATACAACTTCTCGATCTTCGCCCGGAGACCATGGAGTCTGGTCTATATTAGACTGGTCGAGGATCCTTTAGGTCTTAAGAAAATCAAGGAACGTGCGACATACATCCCTGAGGTCGTGATAGAGAAAGTCGTGTCTGTATTTAACACTAGCATATAAAATAAGCCAAAATATCTTTTGCTATATAAAAGCTAACACGACTTTGAAAACCATTTTTGAATCGTTTCGTTTAGCTATTTATTACATCGTTATGTCTAGTTAAAGTTCTACAGATAGAAACACAAAATATAGACTTTAGAGCTATCAAATAATATTAAAGACATTTTGAATTGAGAGTTGGAGTAAGGGTCCTTAAATATATCGGCAGTAATCGAAATCTTTATAAAATACTAGTAGACTCGGCTCAAGCGTTGCTCTGGCTAAGATTTTTGTTATATCATAGTAGTAAACTATTCAAGCGAAACTATAATTTGAGTAGAGACAGCTTTGTGAAACGTTGATAATCTTAACACAGCGCCATCTTTAGAATGTATCAAACAAATTTTTCACAAATTAAAATTGCGACTAAATTTGAGATTTAAACTATCCTATCTCTCAAGTTGGATCGAACTGCACATGGTGTGCAAATTTGATTGATATCGGTTCGGTAGTTTAGGAGTCCATTGAGGACAAACATTGTGACATGAGATTTATATATATTAAGATATAATGATTTTTTATATATATTTTCTTTGGTTATATTGTCGTCGGAGGTATTAAGTAACGTATGTGTATATACTAAATAGTCTTTGTAACTACTGATACTGTACTTATTATTTCTGATAACTTTTTGTATGCCGTTAAAAGGCAATTAATAATTTATTCGCAACACACAAATATACAGTAATAATAATATTTAAAAATTGATAAATAGAATATTAAATTAAATTTAATAATGGTCCCGGTAAACCTTCAACGCTGGCAGCATTTCCTCGCTGTATTGCGATACTTATTCATCGAGCGAGGAAAGCACCAGATCTGGAGTCACTAGTACTATCCAAACGCCAACTTAAATCTTTAATTAGCGCCTATGCACTGTGTTTCTGTTATAATTATGTCTATAATTTGTTCGGTGTACCTTTCATAGCCATACTTTGGACAGATAATGTACTACCATCTCTTCTTCTGTATTGTTGCAAGGAACTATAGAATATATAAGCTTCATATATAGTTTAACTGAGTACCTTCGCGATCCGTGAGTTGTAGGCTTTTCAAGATGGCTTCAGGAATTGGTGGTGGTGTTGGCAGATGGTCCCCACTGGGTTGGAAGCCGTTCTCATCAGCAATGTATGAGACGGAGTAGGTTTGACCATCGTCACCGATGTAGGAGTAGGAGCCGGACACCTGGATGGAGCCTTCTTCGGGAGTTGATCCTGGCAAGACTCGTCCTAAAAAAACCACAGCGTTTGGTAAAAATATTTTAGAAGTCAGTTTCTTCTTGCTTGAAGTTCCAAGCATTGGGCATCCGGTAGATATATGTATGTCAGCGACATCGAATCTTATTTAAATAAAAATTTCAGAGCCTATCAATCCGTATTGTTTCGTCATGAATCAAACTTAAGACCTCCGGGCAATGCGCTATAGTGAGGTAGTCCTCGTGGATAGGTTCCGTTTTAACTCACAACGTTTTATCGCTTAACTTATTATTATGACATTGTTTTGTTGTTCTTATTTAATATAATATTATGACTTAATGAAAATGAATAAGACATTATTTTGTGCGGATTTTTATAATAGATCGATCTAAATGTACCCCTTTCTTTTTTTCTAATTAATGATTTATTACTATTATCAAAAAGCTGAATGAAGCTAAATATTGAACAACCTCTCCATAAAAATCTTAATGTAGACTGAACTCTTAACTAAAATACTTTTCGTCTCTTTCTGTCAAATTGTGTAAATGGAATGTATAAGGGGGAGAGCCAGTATGAAAAGTAAGCCCTACAATTTAAAAACAAAAGCACAAGTCTATACGCGTTTCGTAGAATGAAGATGCACCAATAAATCACTTCACCACGTAACCATGACGAAAGAGGCAACTCACAACAACATTATGTCATATTAAATTACCGTTTGATTGACATGTGGTTCATAGCGTAACCCCTTGGAGTGCTCTTATTGAGACAAATTTTATGCAATCAATAAATACGTATATTTATTGAGAGAATCGTGTTGAAATGTAAATAAGGTGTATTGAAATTTGTTAATATGTTTTTAGAGATTTCTATCGGCTTTTTGATTGTGATATTTTGAAAGTAGATTTCAACGCTTAAAATTTAGTAATGGGAAAGGTTAATTTAAACAAGCCATACTGCCGGATATATAGAAGTGCTGTCTTTAAAGAAAAAAATCACATCTTATTATTATAACAATAGGTGATAGTGGGTTTGATAAAAACTCAAAGTATATGTTATATTTAGAATATAAGATCTATTTAGTATTTTGTATAAAGCACGCGAAACATCAAAATAATTTTATAATTTTTTTACAAATAAATAATTATTTAGGTTCGCTTATCTTTTAGTATATGTTCCACAAAATAGTCGTTTATTTAAAAAAACTTACCATTTTGTTCAGCTTTCGTTCCATCACTGGTTTCGTATGCGTAGTGGAATCCTTCTTCATTCATTTCATTTTCAAATCTTAAAATTTCAGCCTGACCTCCTACATTTTGGCTTTGAACATTCTGAGCGAAGCTTTGGGCTTGAGCATTCTGAGCGAAGTTCTGGACTTGGTTAGGGTAGTTTTGGGCTTGACCTCGCGTTTCAAATGGCGCTTGGAGACCAGCAAGCGCACCATCTGCTGACGCGACATCTGGAGGCAAGTATACCTTGTCAAGTTTAGCGGCCGCGGCCATGGAGGTGATCGTGAGAATGATGACCTGAAAATTAATAATATATATTTAATTTTGAATATATACTAAGTGCCAGGACAAATTAGATCGAAAGCTTTGATAGAACTTTGAGCTTTTTTAAAAATAATATTTTGTTTTGTACAGAAGATCTGTTCTGCTTCTCTTGGCGAATATATAAATGTAACTCAAATCACCCATAACTAATATAAATTTTGATCATCTTTTTTCTGCCTCGTGATTAGCTACTACTTTTATATATTAATTGTGTGTCAATTAACCTTAGGCTGAGCTTTTACGTGTCTGTTTATACATACTATTATTTGTACCTTTTCTTTAGATTTTATTTTATTTAATTTTAGTTATAGTTGCATGTTACTTTTAGTATCTTTTTGTTAATTAATTATGCATCTCTTGTACTTTACCCTCTGTAGGTGTTTCTTTTTTTTATAGTTCCATTTTAGGGTTGCCTGGAAGAAATCGCTTGTTAGCGATAAGGCCGCCCGTTGCCTAATAACATATGTTACCTACTTACTTTTTGTTTTTTTTCTATATGTATAATTATGTGTATTACGGCAATGAAGTATAAATAAATAAAATTTACTTATAATATCAGCGATTGTACATAATTATGTTTATTTATGGTGTTCCGGTTGTGAAAATAAGTCGGCAAGAGCAACGCAAAAAGGATACCAAATATTTTGAAAAATCTCAACCCACTATTATAATTTTATAAACCCTAAAAGGCACTCGATTGACCTATACCTACAGTTGTAAGAACTACGGCAAAATAAATATATACAGTTTCTTCTGACTCTCGATAAAATTTGTGATCAACTACTTCAAATCCTTGATATGTCACACATTTTGTCTTAGAAAAATATTAAGAAAACAATTTTAATGTCGCGCCATTTGTGAAGGTTGATTTCGTGATGCAGCTGCAACAGATGCAACCTGCTGATACTCGGTATCAGAAATTATTAGCTGCTTTCCTACAATAATACAATATTTGCTAAATTTAAGTGTTTTTCTTAACTATTTTGTGCCTAATACTTATTCAAATTTAACGTTAGATACATACCTACATAACTTTTCTAGATAATAAACTACAATTTAACAAGCCAGCTACTAAATCGAGTTCAATTAAGCTTTATAGTGACACCGGCAATACAAAAACATTTTATTGTTTTCTTATATCTACCACTAAATATTCCAATTCTATTCCTTTATAAATATAATCAAATTGTTGTTTTGAGCAAAAAACCACGCGTACATTTAAGAAATTATACTTATAAGGAACCTTCAAGGATCTGATAATCAGTTATTGAACCTAGGGCTTTATATGGTTTCGTTGAGGCCCCGGTAGAATGCGAGAGGAGCACCGGAGCCTCTGTAACGCGCCCTTGGAACTACCCGAGGTGGTTTTAGAGAGTATTGCTACCCAGTCTCTAAATAGCAGAGATTCTGGTGTGGGTGTCCCACATACCCCCGCAACTTTCGGGGGCTTACGCAAATGCATTGCCACCTCAGATACAAAAGAAAAAGACTTATAAAGTCTTTTTCTTGTGACAATCAAACCGCAGTAAAACACAATTGTAACCACTGAAACAGCACAAAAAACTCTTTAAAACAATCACAAATTAGAACAAACTTTTACTAACGTATTTCATGATGCTTCTTCAAGGGAAGATTGTAGAGAAATGTAATGCTGTGTTCATCTGCCGCCAATTTATACTAAAGCAGTAATCGTACATGCGCGTGATATTCCCTTCATCTTATGCGCGTTGAAATAGATACTATAATTCCATATTGAGCAAGGACACGGGTTTAAGAAGCTCACATTCCAATGTAATAGTTTTAAAATATTGACATTGGGAGGTTTAAAAGCAATTAAAGTATTTAATGCATTGAATGAAATCTTTAATGAAGACATTGATTGCTTCTGTGGATTCGTTGTAATTGTGGCGCAAATGATATACAGTACTAAATACTATTACATGATTTGTATGTCATGGTATAGAGTAAAGACTATTTGGTAATTTTAGATTTAGATAGATAAATAGATTTATCTGGGCTTGCAATACCATTTCATGGTTATCTAAATCTAACTTAGTTTGTTCTACAAATGTGGGTTAAAATAGAGCTGGAATTATTTTGCTAACACGCAAATGCCGAGATGCGCTTTTTATCGCTGATCCAAGTGTCGTTAGAATTACTAGGTAAAAATTTTAAAAACCCACTGGCGCTACAACCATTTGGGTCTGGGCCTCAGATTTCGTGAATATTTTTTTTTAATAGACTAGTTAAGCCAAATGATGAATGCACATACAAAATCCATTGGTGCACAGCCGGGGCTCGAACCTACGACCATAGGGATGAGAATCTCATCCTGAAACCACTCGGCTAACACTGCATCAACCAAGCATAACTACTATTTACACGCTATTTTTATATTAATGTGTAAGTGTATTAGAAAATGATAAAAGTTTTGGAACAGTAGCCAAACTCTCTGATTAGCTATAATTGGCACATTACAGTTGTTGTAAAAAGCTTTGCACTAAAATGTTCTATATCATATAAATACACGTTTCTGCGTGTACTGCAATATTATTAAACAGTAAAATACGTCATGTCTATGACTGTCTATGACATGTCTATGAATCTAATAAATATTTATTGAACTTATTCCCAGCCTAAACTGGACATTGAAACACCAATTCAATACTCCAAATACAAATGCTCAAATAGACATGACGGTTATTCTTAAGTTATATGTTTATTACTGTAATAATATCTGTTACAAGCTATCTTTTCTAAAATATATGACAATTTTGGTAAGCATAAATGATAGCAAAAAATTTACATAAAATAAAAATACTAGGTATTTAGTATTTTTTTGATTATTCTTAAGCAAATAAAGGTTTGTTCAAGTACTGCAAGGAGCTATGTCTTTTAATATACAATAATTTATTTCGTTTAACATTTAACTACATTGTCATAATATATATGATATGTAATAATAACTTCTTTATTTCAGATTATATGTAGTTTTAGTTAGAGTTAGTAACTATGTTAGTATGGATTAGTAAACAAAACAAAAATACACCTATAGTGGGATTGTAATCAATAGTCAGTGTTTTTTAGATTTAAGGAGAGCTTAATCATCATCATCAGTCTCTTTATTTGGTCCATTTCTGGACGTGGGCCTCCTCCATTTTCCATTCGCCCTGCACTGGCCTCTGTATCCAAGGAGAGCCTAATATAACTTATTTAGTTTAAATACCAATTACACATAATTGGGCTATCCCAGACGATACATTTATTACGATAAGAACCGCTCACGTTGGGCAACCAAATCCTTTTACTTAAATTACTTACCATAAACTTTAGAGTTCACGACGTGACAGTTTTCAAGGACATTTATGCTCTATGGATGATCAAAAATGGACCTTATACGTTTAAAATAAGAATTAATATACAAAGTGAGTTAAACTAGATGAATGCGTGTCAATTATCGAATAATTTCTGCGACTGGCCGGAACTAGCATGAATAGAAGTTCAGATCCGGGGCCCTTTAATAGTAATACGAGTACTAGATATTCAAATAAATCATCCTTTTTAAATTTTTTACTCCCGACACAAAAAGGGGGTGTTATACCGACGCGTATTCGTGTCTGTGTATTTATTTATTTACAAAATCTTGCTAACGCTCGTTATACTCGGGCATTGGTACAAAGGAAAAATTAAATACACAACACGCACGCAATGTGACAAGCACTTATAGGCAAACATATCAAACAAGGAAAAAATAAAAATTCATACATTATAAAAAATTAAAGGAAAATTAATTTCGAACTGTGGATATCCAGACTTAGCTCGTTTATCAGAATGCTCAATCCGGTGAGTTTTGGCCAAAACGCGTTTTTCTAAAAGGAAGGAAATATGAAATGATGGGATGCCTGGGGTATTTAGTGGGTACACGAAATTTAAATTTAGTTAAAAGGGTGGGACTTTGTATCTGTTTGGTTGGCTATGACTTCGTAGCTCCTAAATGAATGGACTGATTATGATGTGGTGTTTTGTGAAAGCGTTTCGAGATCAATCAATGTTTGTTAATTGCGGCAGAAATTGCGTTTTTATTTTATCGTTATTATACAAATCCAGCAGAATATTGCAAATACCAACATTACGGCGAAATTTCAGTAGACTAATAACAATAAAAAATTGATATCTGTCATATTGATGTGGCATTCTCTCACTTACCACGATTGCTGAAAACCACTCGAAACCTCGTTATGTAAATCAAGAAGGTTGGTGGCCGAGAAACTAAAGTTCAGGGGAGTGTCTATTCTCTCTATGACACTCTAACTTAAGCTAAGCCTTGTGGGCTTGGCTATTCCCAACGGGCCCGGGCAAAGACTACTCCGGAAATATCCATATCTTTATGAGCAAGTCGGACTGTCTGGACCCGCGTCACCTCTAGTGTTATTCATCTTAGTGACATATTAGATAATTCGTAGAATTTTTCCAGCTGCGGTCTGTGCTCTTATAGTCCTTTTATACCAGTTAACGTAAAAATCAGTACACAAGCAATGTTGGCCTAGTGGCTTCAGCGTGCGACTCGCGTTCGATTCCCAACTGTGCACCAATGGACTGTTATTTCTATGTGCGCATTTAACATTCGATCGAACGGTGAAGGATTACATCGTCAGGAAACCGGCTTGCCTCAGAGTCAAAAAGTCGACTGCGTTTGTCAAGGGCAGGAGGCTGATCACCTACTTCCCTATATATCATGAAACAGATACAGAAATCTGAGGCCCAGTCCTAAAAAGGTTGTAGCGTCGCTGATTTATTTAAATCAGTACAGTAGTTATTGTGTTTACGCTGTGATGAAGAGAAACAGTCTAGTTAAAATAGTGTAGTTTTATCCAAAAAAAATAACTTAAAATTGCGAAAATTACATTTAGGGCCTATATGGCTTAGGTGGGCCCCAAACCCATCACTAGATCCAGACCTGCCCATCATGATACATTTTTAAACCAAATAATAATTCTCCAATATTCCTAGAACTCAATAAATGCTGCATTATAAAATAAATCTGTTAAAAATCAATATAAAGTAATCTTTGTCGTATAAACATTGTTTTTTTTAAAGAATGCGTAAAATTATATCCGGAAATAACAAGCCAAATTACAATATAGCCTGTTCCGCTAAAATAAGAAACTGCTGAATAAATTGCTTCTGTTCCGGCTCCCAAATAATTTTTCCAAGTTTAAACAATGCACGATAATAAAATCACGATTTACAATGTTAAACATTATTAAAATTAATATTGACTTCTTCAATATTTGGTGCTGAAGTCTTGCGAAGCGTAGCGACGTACAAAGTTTTCGTCTTCCTCCACATATCCATAATTAATTAATTATTATGAAAATTTGTTAAATAGGTCTATCTTTTATGAAAATCGGAATTAAAAGGACTTACTAACTTTCTCTTTTCTACGTTTATTTGTACTCCAATTTTTATCGCTTATAAAAATTAATTGAGAAGAATTGTTAAATTAAGTCGATAAAAGATTTCTTAATGCAAACATCTTTAAAACTTTCTTTACCTATAAAAACATTTTTATATTATGGAAAAGAGGTTACATATGTTATTAGGCAATGGACCTTATAGCAAACAAGCGATTTCTGCCAGGCAAGCCTAGTATGGAAAAATAAAAAAACCTACTAACCTAATTACGAGAAGTGCATAAATAATTAACAAAAAAAACCAGAAAATTACATGTAACACTTAAATTAAGCAATACTAAACTAATATCTAAAAACACATTCTAACTAATAACCAATTACCAAAATCAGTCACACAGTATAACACTAAGCTGTTTTATTATTTATTTATTAAGTATATTTTACAAACTCTTTTATCTAAAATGTATGACAATTTAGGTAAACATGTACAAAAAATGAAATACAGTAATAAAATGCCAGAATTTTTTGTTAAGGAGAAAAACAAAATTACTAACAAAACAGTGGATTAGGTACGAGATAGGCACTTAACAATGCTTTCTTTAGAATGGATCAGCCCACTACTGAAAATATCCAGTACTGTTTAATCCGTTATAATCGCGAAGAATTCGATAGAGAGGTCTGTTATAAATTTTAATTTAGAAGTATTATTTATTTATTTTACAATTTTATTTAATAATGTTGACATAAATCTATAAAACAGGCTACATTTAAACTCCACAGTTTTATTCCACATTTCTCAGAGAATTTTGCATACAAATAAAAGTTCATAATTGATCTTCAAAAAAAACGTTTGAAATGTGAATAGGGTACGAAACGTACACGAATTACGGGACATCGTCTAGAAACAAATGAGCATCGGGTAGTGATCCGCCAGCGCCATCAATTGCACAGTAATAATATTCTATTAATTAACCAACTGCTTTATAACCTAGTCATTAAATCCTAAATTAAATATTACATATAACTAGCGTTGATTACCAACACAGAG